AGCATGGCAATTGATCAACAAAAGAGCATCTAAGATTTTAATAAATTTTGGCTCGGGGTCGTTAGAATATGTGGGCTAGCATGATTTTTTCAGACACTTTGTATTTTTTGTCGAAAATTTCTGAAAGTTTGTAAGAAGGTTTATGTATCAGAGGGAAACATTTACAAATTTTTGGGAAAATCGAACTATGCCAACTTTTGCCATGACTATTATAAATTTTTAATCATAACTAACATGGGAGAGTACACAAATTTTTCTATTCTAAGGTGAAACTTACAAGTAATATTCTGTCATATGTTTTGACTATGTGAATTGAAGATTAAAATATTGATTGACCTTGTTCATTTGATAAATTAAAATTGCAATATAAGATATTATTATTTTTATTTGCTTTTAGAAGAAAAAGAAAATTTAGAAACATATTATATATTTACTAGCAGATGAGCCCGACGTTGATCGGGCAAAAAGTAGCGATAGCGAAAATTAAGATTATTAAATTATAGCCGATCTTACCCGTTTTTACCGAGTGCAAAGATTAGGTTCACCCTCTTCCGAGATTAATTAGAAAATTTTTAGATGAGTCTAAAAACATGTTCGATTTCTCGCAAAGAATCGGATTTAAAATAGTACAGTAAAATCCGAATTCAGGGTAATCCTTTACTCTCTCCCTCTCCTCCGCAGGGGAAATTTCGGAAAGTCTGTTCTTTGTTTACATTCTCATGACGTACCCTAACTGTGTATTGAATTTCAATTTTGAACTCCTAACCGTTTGGGCTCTGCGCTTAAGGTTATTATTGTTATTATTATTATGTTGGGTTTAGTGGGTAATACTCGGTTTAAACCGGTGACTGTGTACTATGCCGGACCAGAGTCAAGGCATAGCAACCAAAACAAATTAAATAAGTGTGTCAGTGTCAGTGTCTGTATTCAGGAATTTNATTAGTAAACATTTTAAAATTAAAAAAAAATAAGTGTAGATTAAGAGTACAAAAATAAATAAATTACAATAAACGCATTATTTATGATAGAGAATATATTTACGCAATAAAAAATCTTAAAAAATTTATAACATTAGAATGATATGGATGGCTATCAAACATAAACCGATAATCGTACCTAACTTCCTCGAGCATACTTCTTTCCTCTAGTATGAAGATCGACAAAGAAGATAAAAACGATCAGAACTTCAAACAAAAAATATAAATGTCACGCAGCATTTGCTCCTGATTCTATCATTTCTATCATATAAATGAATAAAGTAGATCCTATTTTTCGTTTTTCGCCAATATTCTGAAGTATCCTACAATCCTGAGGGATTTGGATTCATATCTTGTTATTTTTTACGTTGATAGTTTGAACACTAGCTTCGTCGTTTTCAGAAAACTATCTTCTTATTAATACTAAAGATATACTTTATCAATATAAAAAAACAAGATATAGTATTACTAAAGCAAAATTTTTAACAAATTCGATATATACACAAATTGGACATCTAACAATTTTCTCTATGTGCTCCAGATTTTACTCACTTTAAGCATGAAAAAACGAAATGTTCTAATTTCTGTATATTTTGCAGATATATATAGGCCCTATATTTTGCATATATATATATATATGTAATGCTACAGTATATTTTGTTAAAAATAACTGATGTCTTGAATTTTTTCAGCAACTGCTGTATAATTCTTTAATATCGAACAATTTCCAAATACTATCTCGTCTTGTATTTATAAATAAAAGTTGAAACTATTTTATTTTCCGAATTGAATTACCATCAATATCCGCTTCTCAACAGGCAATACAATCGAATTAAATTATAACTTTTACTTTCTAAACTTAATAAACTCGTACTTAATATTAATAAGTAAAAATAATGTTTTAATCAGTGTAAATTTATTTCATTTTCCCTAAATTTAATTACCTTTCAATATTTCCCAAATTATATTAGAAGGAAAAAAAATATTGATTTATTCTTAATATGAATTTATTTGTTTTTAGTTTTGCTCTTTGCTAATATTCTTGTTTATCTTATAACAAAACTATATAGAGAAGTATTTTCAAAACATTGAAATTCTTTACAGATCACAATTTAAATTTTCACATATCTTCGGCTTACGCATAGATCAAATACTTTTGTCCAAAAAAATATGAAATGATAACGGCTCTTTGAAATTTTCTTTTAGTAGTTGTGTAAGATATAAGCCAATATTCTGAGCGATATTTTATATTTTTATCGATGAAATTTAACCANTTTGTTATACATATGTATTATCTAAGATTTTATTAAACATTTTTTTCTAAATTATTGCTTTTTTTAGTCTCCGGCCCCAATTAAAAATTATTTGTATGTATTTATATGCGAAATTATACCCCGACTTACGCGAATTCGACTTACGCGGTTATCGCTCGGTCCCACCTATCGCGTAAGTTCGGGCTATTTCGGACAAAAATAGCAAAAAAATAGATGTAATGTGTACTGTAAGTGTTCCTTTATACTCCAAGTTTCTTTTCAGCACTGTCACTAGCTAATTTTTTCTAGTGGACGCTTTAGCGTCTTCTCTGAGAAAATGGCGAGTTTAACTGGTAAAGACAAAGTAGCCTGTGTGTTAAAATTTCACGAGACGATTAAAATTTCGTACTTTGATTTGTAACCTGTATTAATCGAAAAAAAGAATTTACACGTGATATAAATCACTAAAACCAGTTATGTGCAGAAAAAGCACTGAAAGAAAGCTTAGTGAAAGTGTAGAACAAATGCGCGAAGTCCTAAAAATTTAACTAGATAGCAGCGCAAGGAATTAAGAAACATGTATAATGCAACTATGTAAAGTGTTGCGTAAAAAACTAGCTTTAAAACTGTAATTATTTCAATTGTTCCAGCAAATACATCGTAGTGACAAGCAAGCACAACTTGAATTTTCTGTTCAAATGCTGAACCGTCAAGAAGACGACTATTCCTTTTTGGACTGTCTAATTTTCAGTGACAAGGCAACTTTCCACCTGTCGGAGAAGGTAAATCGACATAACTTATGACAGACAATTGAACATGTCAGAAGTAGTCCCAAATGCAACGTGTTCTTATCTGTTAGTCGAACGTGAGTTTACGGCTTTTTCTTCTTTTATCAGGCCGCTGTAATGGGCATTGTGTACCTGATTATTTTGCTGAACTTCTGTTGGATGTGAGTAATTCAATTTACTAACTTGATGGTACTTCTCGTTAACACCGATATGTGACTGATTACTTGAATGACATTTTCAACCAAAGATGGATTAAAGTCGGAACAGTGTCGTGACTCGTGAGATGTGAAGTCCGAGGTCCTTCTCTCCACTTCGAATATGTGTGTTAAGATTCGTAGGAAAAGCATTTCACGACACGAACTATAATGTTAAGTCCTTTAATTACAAATACATATGTTACTGTAAAAGACCGATATCTGGCAAATGTCGAGATTCTCCGGTGAATATAGTTGCTCGGTGAATGTACGAAATATTTGCTAAATATCATTATTTCCCATTTATACCGGCAAATATCGAGATTCGGCATGATGGTGAATATTAAATACAAATATTTTTATTACGTTAAGACAAAAAATGCAACTTTTTGATATATAATATATGTCAAAATATGAGAAATAATATGATATATGTCAAAATAGGAAAACGTTTAAGTAAAACAGCACATGTAAATAAACTATTGAACCTAAAACAAACAGTACATTCTTAATCAGAAAAGAAAAGTAATACCAATAATCAAGTAACCAAACACCTTAATCGTTAATACGACTATGGAATACATCTTAAGATGTATTGGAATTACGTATTTCAATCGTATTGGAATTCGTATTCCAAGTATTCCAATTGTATTGGAATTCGTATTCCAAGGTATTCCTTGGAATACGAATATGGAATACATCTTAAGATGTATTCCATATTCGTATGTTTTAACCTGAAGTTGATCTATTAAATAGATCGAAAACGTTTGTTTTTAATAAAACCCCCTCGGCAACGATTAAGGTGTTTGGTTACTTGATTAGTTCTTTTTTGCTGAGTACGTTTCTGTTCAACGTAATACCAATAATAAACTAACACAAATTATGTGATTAACGTTATACAATCTTATTTATTGCAACAACTTAAACTGTTATGACACTTTGAATTGTACAAGAGTCCTTTGCTATTACAACTGCATTTATTCGTAAAGACTTCTTTTTGCAATTACAGCGTGTATAACCTTGCCCCTCACTTCTCAAATTAGTTTCAGCTGCATCTCTCAGCGACATTTCGTGAGAAGAAATCTCATCTATAGAAAGTAACTTTGTTTTTACAAATTACAAACTGATTACGGGTATATAGCTGCTTGATGGTATCATTTTTGTTTGCTAATGTATAAAAGTCGGAGTCCTCTATTCCAACAACAATTGCCAACAGATTTCGGGCATTTGTACGATCACGGTCGACATCAGGAATTTGTATTCATACGGTATCACCAATTTGAGCAGGAGGAAATTTTATTTTTGAGTTTCGTTGCTTGCAGTAGAAGATTCTTTTTCACGGCCACTCATTTTATAGAAATAAACTCGTGTTGTTCAGTCAGGGTTTGATATGAAGATGTGATAGGTTGCAGCTCCTCTTTAATATTTTCCTTTGGAATATGGTTTTCGGTATGGTCACTGCTCAAATTTTCTTCAAAAGCATTAACAATTTTTTCGAGCTGTTCTTCGGTTTCAATATTTGCGATTTGTTCGCCAGGCAAAGATGATGTACGCTATACCTCTTTTTGGTTTAACGCCAAACAGGGCTTCATAAGGACTTTGGCGTATTCCTTCATGGTATGTTGTGTTTTTGGCAAATTTAACAAAGGGCAAACCATCTGATCATTTATTTGTATCGTTATTATTCATCAATGCAGTTAACAAATTCTGTATATCCTGATTGGCCCCTTCAACTGAGCCTCATGTTTGACTATGACGATGCTTTTCGTAAACTATCTTAACATCTGTTCACATAACGCATAGTTCGGATATAACTCGATTATTAAATTCCCTACCATTATCTGAATGCAATATAGCTGGGGCACCAAATGTTAAAAATATTTGAAGAAGGTGATACGCTACTTCCTTAGCTGTCTTAGCTTTTAAAGGTCGTAACTGAACAAACTTAGTTAAATGGTCTTGATGTACCATTAAGAACTTGTAATCTCCATTTCTGTGTGATTTCAGGTCTATCAGATCAACTTGACATCTTGAGTTTAACTCCAAACTGACCATTGGTTTCACAACAATACCTCTTTCAGGTGTACTATTTTTCATTTGACATTGTTTACATAAATTTAAATACAACATTGCAACTTCATATGTAATATTTTTGTATTTAAGTTGAAATTCTTTAAGCATACGTGTTCTTTTTCCATGGCCTATTCTGATGTGAGTTTCGGATAGTACACTTAACACTTCATTATTGGTAACATACATTTAATACTGTATATTCATTTCTCCTGGTTTTAATGACACAATTAACTTCTCTTCATCATTAATTTTAAAAATGTCAAAACGTTTTAATCGTCTGTAATCCAAAGATGCACCTCACTTAGTTTTAGCAAATCACATCAGGATAGTATTTAAAAGTACTTTTCTTGAGAAAAATAAAAACAACTATTTTCGCGTTTACTCGCAATTGCTCCCTCTTGGTTGTCCAGACGAGGCTCCTATTTTCTTTTTGTGGTCCCTCTTTTTAAGGGACTCTCCAGGTCTAACAACTATCCATCTGGAGCTGGGCCAGTAGCTGTCATTCAGATGAGAATTAAGTCAGGAATCTCGAGAGGGATTTTTGACTAATTCTGTAATTATACATATTGCTGAACTCCTTCCGGAAAAACCGATTTTTCCGAGTGAAAGACAAAATTGCTTTGTCTTCGGCTACTTTTGTTAGGCCTATTTGACAGATGGATTGAACCAGATGATACTATAAGATGTCCAGTGAATTCGACTAACCTAAAGCCACTGGATTTTCGCACCTGGAGCTACGTTAAAGACAAGGTGTACCACTCATGCCAGAAATAAAATCCGAATAAGCAGAAAAAATAGATGAGTTACATGATTAACATTTTTATGGAAACGAAAGCGCATAGATAATCTCACGGGTTATGTTGTATAATTGACAAGCCAGATTATAAAGAGTATGTTGCATTTAGAAAACTTGACGTGTTATTGCATACTTCACAACAAATTTCAAATCTGTAACTTCAATAGTGTGATTACAATAACGTGTCAAAATTGTTTACTGCATTAGAAAACATCCTATGTATGTAATTAAATTTGGAATATATTAACTTTCTAAATTAATAAATTGTAAACTCAGCATAATACTATACTATAACACAATACTCTTTTATCAGATTGAATGATATAATATAATTTTTTAACACAAACTTGAGAAGCAAACTTTTCTGCATAACTTTCTCTCGTATAAGAATTCAGAGCGAAAATGAAAGGATTTGGATTACGGTCAAAAATAAAGTTCAAATATATTACAAAATAAATTTAAAATTTTACAAAGACATCTTTCACATACGTAAAAACACAATCAATATTAACGGAACTAAACTTTTGTAGGCTTTTCTTGGCTCACAAATGGTAAATTGATTACAACGAAATGTTTATAAAAATCCGGTATCAGAAAAAATCTTAATCAATTTACAAATTTGCAGGTTGAAACAGTCTATATATTTAAATATATTTGTTCTGAATTTATGATTTTAACGGAATTTCAAAGGATTTCATATTCATTTCTGCTAATAAGTAATCCTAATGACATCGGTAAGTACGAGTCCTTCGACTCTGATAAAAAGTTCCATGTCTTAAATATATTTAATCGCCTGGTATATATACATACCAGACAATTAAATATATATGAAGGAAAGACGAAATTATGAAAGCTAGCAGATATACCCCGTGCTGCCCGGACAAAAAGTAAGAACAACAAATTTTAAAATAAAAACACAATTAAACGTTTGGTTATTTTAATCTACTATTATTATACTTATCATGAAGCGTTAAATAAATTATAATAAGAAAAACGAGAATGTAATAAAACATTAAAAATCTGTTTTGAAGAAAATGAGAAAAACAAATCAATGTTTTTTAAATTCACATAACAAAAATAAAAATAAATAAACAATCATATTTCGAGGCAAACGGATCAAAATTTCCGCTCAATGTTCTGGAAAATTTTCGTGTGCATGTTTTGTTCTTGCTTATAATATGATAATCGGATGTTACAAAAGGGCTCAATTTCCTTGATGTAGTCAGAAACCGATGTTTTTCAACGGAAAGTAGTCATTGACGTCCGCCTGCACAAGAAAACAATTTAACACATCTTAGTTCTAATGTTAACTCTAACGTATCATTCACAAGCCCATTACGAAATGGTAATCGGTCAACCAATTAAATTTCGCGAAAATAGACCAAATATTCAAACTCGGCACTTGAAAAATTTCCTATAAACATATTTTATGCTCTCTGGTAACTTTGTATTAAGTAATTTTTCCATTCGAACAGTGGCGTGCCTTCCATGGAAGCTGTGGAAGCACTGCTTCCCTTGTATTTTCTAAAATATAAATACATATTGTGCGATTATTTTCATATTTCAACGTACTTTAAATTAATTAAAATTAATAATTTATTATAACCGTATTATGTATCTTATTACAAATTTCCATACTACACGTGAAAAAAATGATAAGATTGCGATTGTATATTCGAATATAAATTCGTATATGCATATTTCCAATGGAATCGCTGTATTGTCGAATACGGGATAGTTTCCACGGCGAAAATACAGTATTTGAATCGTGTAAAGCAGCCAGATTATACGCATTCTCGGAAATTCTTTAGAATTTTAAATATATATAAGTACTGTATTTTATTATTTATATTTTACCTATTCCTACTAATAAATTACAAACCTCTGCTAAGATATTTCATAAAAATATTTTGAATTTTGTTACGTATTAGCGTACGTTTTAATATATGTAATGAGAAATTAAATGAAAGATGAAATTTAATAAATTACGTATCTTGATCGATCAAACGGCTAATTCTATTTAACGACTATCATTATGAGACCTTGCAAATTCATCAGAGCATCAGACATTCATTTTTAAAATATTGACTATAATAATTTTTAATATTAATTAATTAATTTTGAAATATTGAAATAAATTATTGGAATACATTTGAATCTTTTCATCAATCTTCATGAAAATTAGTTAGTTTGCTTGGTACTGTTTATGATTAGAATGAAATGGTTGAATATAGTTAATAAATATTCCCCATTGAGTAAACACAACTAAAAAGTTATTTAATTGAATTATATTAAATAATATATTTCTAAAAATAATTTAATAACGGTTTATGATTGACTCTATTTATATAGTAAATTTAGCATTTAAATTTGTTTATTTATAGGATGAATGTTGAAATATAGCCAAATATTGCGACAATAATCGTGCTCATGGGATCAACCGATCAATCGCTACTTCAATTATTTGTAAAATGATTCTTAAGCTGACATGTCTGACAGCTCTTTGTCATCTACTCAATAAATGATGCTGCAAATTGGCATAATCTTAGAAGATTGTAACTAGATAGAGTCAAATAATAGCTTACTTTCAGTACTATTGAACGCTTCTCCTATTTATAAAGTACCCTATTTCTTAGAGAAAACATAAATAAAATTAAAATATAGTAACTGAGAAAATTTGTCATTCAACAAGATATATTAAATCTTGTAAATTATATACACAGTAAAACCTCGGTTATACATTTTCGAAAGGATTGTCTTTTTAAAATATGCATAAATGAAAAACGTATAACTGGAAACTGCCTTTTCAAATAGACAAAACGGATCTAAAATAGAATGAGGGACAGGTCGAAAACTCTACGAATTTTTCCGGGATGGTCCGTTATATATGTCGGATCCAGTCCTTCACCACCCGGATACCCCACTGTAGGCTTGGCTGAACCAATACAGTAATGGGTTTTCTAAAAAGGCCCACTTAGTGCCCAAAGGACGAAACAAGGTAAAAAACATTTAGGTACAAATCGACTAAACATTGATTTTAAATATCTTGGAATACAATTCTTATTTAAAAATATCGTAATATTGGAATAGTAAATAAAATTGTTTTATTTTCATTAATTTCAAGTATTTATTAAACTATGGATACGTAGATTTGTCTAATAAAAAAACCATTGGAGTAGAATTAAAAAAACTTTTAAAAATAAGTAGCTTTAGTTTGATATTTTCTGAATATTTCGTACATTAATATCTCCAAACCGTTTAGGTTTCTATACGTTTGCAGTTTTCTTGATTCACGTTATTGCTTAATGCATAGCCTAGTGTCCGATAATGTTTAAGCTAACTTCTTTTTACCTTTAACGTCTTCAAGTATCTGATCAATACTTAACATAGTTGAAGTTAAAAATTCATCTACTGCCAAATCGTCAAATGTAACGGAAAATACTGTACCCGTTCCATTGAAATTCCATTCCATTCCATTCAAATGAATCATTTTCCTTATATGTTTCAATTTGAGACTCTTCGTTGGAAAAGTCTGTTTTGAAAAAGCAATTTTTGATTATATTTCTAGTGACTCTTCTTCATGAGGATGTAGAATAATTTGATGCTTAAAAGTAATACTATGTAGGTTATAGTACTATAAAAATATTAAATCCGTTGCACTAACCCGTAAAATGTTGATTTGAGTTTCCTTTTTTCCTTTCTTATGTCTCTCCAAAATAAAAGTGTACTGTACAATCAATAGCAAACTGTAATAGGCGTTAAAATCCTTTATGATTATAAAATGTAATAGTTGAAGAATATTAGTACAATTTACAAAAAAATTCCATTTTGTAAGAAATGTTTTGTATTGAGATGATATTCTGGATAGCTTGACAGTGCTCCAAGACAGTAACGTTACAACTTCGTTTGTTTTTAATTTATAATCCCATAATCCTATAATCNTTTAATTAACAAAAACATGATTTAATTATATAAACTAATTATAATTATAAAGACAAATTAAGTGATAAATTGAGGAAAATCTTGATCATATTTGCAGAAAATAACTATTGATTTATTCGAAATTACAAATTAAAGCCTTGATAATCTATATATTTAAAATAGAGTGTCTGTTCGTATGTCTGTTCTCTGTCCAGTTCTAAATCTTTTAACTAATCTGCATCAATGTTTTTATAGGATTCTGCTGAAAGTGTGAACTACTATGAAACTGGACACACCAATCTTCCCTAATTTTATTCCCTTGACACTTCAGTATAAGCTTAACAATACTAGGCTAAAGTTTTAATATGATCCCATAATGGATATGATTAAAGGCCCTTTTAGTAATTCGTAATCATATGATTATAATATAGATATGTATACATAATAATATAGGATACAGTCAAACCTG